GGGATTGGGGCTCCAGGGGTCCCCCAGGGCTCTTAAGGGCAGGGGAACACCACGGCTGGGGGGAAGGGGGGAACAGAACTGGTAATGGGGTTTTGGGGGTCCCAGCCCATCCCAGTCCCTCCCAGTGCCCCCCCCAGTCCTTCCCAGTGCTCCCAGTACCTGGTGGCAGCAGCAGCAGCAGCAGGAGGAGGGGGGGCAGGAGGGTGGTGACCACGGGCCTCATGGTGGGCGCTGGGGGACACGGGGGTCACCGCAGTGTCACCCCAGTGTCACCCCAGTGTCTCCTGTGTCCCCCCGGTCCCCCTCCAGTGTCCCCAGTGCCCCCAATTGTCCCCATCCCCCCCTCCCGTCCCCGCTGTCCCCATTGTCCCCTGTCCGCCCCCGCCCCCCCAACCCCGTGTCACTGTCCCCCATTGTCCCCATTGTCCCCAGGCGGTCCCAGGCGGTGCCGGGGGCGGGTGACAACACCCGGTACTGCCCCTCCTGACCCCCCCCGACCCCTCCCGAGCCCCCCCGACCCCCTCCGGGCCCCCCCACGCCGCGAATTCCTGACGCGCCGCCGTCACCCCACGGCCCGACGGGACAAAGGGACCCTCTGTGTCACCGACACCCCCGGGGGGGTCAGGGCGGCCGGGGGGGACCCCGCGGGTTTGGGGGCGGCCCAGGGGTTTGGAGGCTCCCAGGGATTCGGGGGGGTCCCAGCAGTTTTTTGGGGGCCCCAGGAGTTTGGGGGCGTCCCAGGGGTTTGAGGGGTCCGAGATGTTTTTGGGGGGTCCCAGAGGTCTGGGGGTCCCCTCCATCCTTGGGCCCCTGGGGGACAGCGCGGGGGGGCTCCGGGGGGTCTGGAGGGACCCCGCGGTCCTGGCGGTGCCATCGGGGCCACAACGGGACGTTTGTCCCCAGCCCGGTGATGTCACCCCCCCTCCCCCGGGGCCATGTGGGGGGGCCCCCGGACAGCTGCGTCCGGGGGAAGCCTGGANCCCCCCCCCGCCAAAGCCCCTCCGAGCCCTCCAGGTGCCCCCTCCCCCCTCACCTGCAGCGGGCGCCGCTCGGGGTCCCCCCCCTGCCCCGGGGGGGCCACCGGGGTCACCTCGGGGGCTCCCGACGCCTTCCTGGGGGACGGGGGGGGGGCACCGCGTCACACGTGACCTCTGACCCTGGCCCCGCCCACCCCCCAAAACCCCCCGGGGGAGTGGCAAATCGGGGATGGGTGTGGTCTCTTCCAAGGGGGTGTGGCCTGTGGGGTGTGGTCCCTGGGCAAGGTGTGGCCTCTCCCACTGGGGTGTGGCCTCTGGTGGGTGTGGTACTTGGGGTGTGTCCCTGAGGGGTGTGGCTTTTAAGGGGCGTGGCTTTTAAGGGGTGTGGCTTACAGGGGCGTGGCCTCCCAGTGGGTGGGGGGGTCCCTCCTCCCCATGGATGTGTCCCCTCCCCCCATGGGTGTGGCCCCAGGTGGGCGGGGCCCCAGGTGGGCGTGGCCCCCGGTGGGCGGGGCCCGTGGGGGGCGGGGCTCACTTGCGGCGGCTCTGGCTCAGGTAACACACGAGGGCGATGACGACGGCGAAGGCCACGACGGCCCCGACCGGGCCCACCTTGGCCCAGACCAGCCCCGCTGGGGGCACAGGGGGGATTCAGTGGGGTCATGGGGGGGGTAAGACCCCCCTCGAGCGGCAACAACCTCCAACTTTTCCCCCCTGGGGCAATAAACCCACCTCAGTGGGCTACAAACCCTCCCCCTCCCCTCCACCCCCACGGGAACCCGGCCTGGGGAATTCCCACGTTCCACCCCCCCTTCACCACTGCCCCAGGTGCCCCCCCAAGGTGCCTCAGGTGCCCCCCGGGGTGATTCAGGTGACTCCCATGTTGCCCCAGGTGCCCCCAGCGTTGCCCCCTTTGCCTCCCATGTTGCCCCCTGTGCCCCAGGTGCCCCCCGAGGTGCCCCCCAGGGTGACTCAGGTGACCCCTATGTTGCCCTATCTGCCCCAGGTGACCCCCCCGTTCCCCAGGTGCCCCCCGAGGTGCCCCCCATGCCCCCCGAGGTGCCCCCAGCCCTCACCGGGGTGGTGGAAGCGCAGCTGCTGCCGGGCGGTGCCGTGGGCGTTGCGGGCGAGGCAGAGCACGGCGAGCCGGGGCTCGAGGGTCCCGCGCAGGGTCAGCACCCCCGTCACCGTCCCGGGGCCCGTCCCGGGGCCGGGCACCCCCCCGGGCGTGGCCAGGGCGTAGTCCCGGTGCCCCTCGGCCACGGTGACGTTGTGGGAGGGCAGCTCGAAGGCCACCACGGGCTCGGGGACGGCCGAGGCCGCGCAGACGCACCGGGCCCCCTCCCCGACCGGGGTGCAGCGGGACTCGGGGAGCAGGACGGGGGGGTCTGCGGGGGGGGGAGACCAAAATGGGCCCCAGAACTGCACCCGGGGGAGCCCAAAACCCCTGAACTGCACCCAGGGGAGCCCAAAACCCCCCGGGCACTACAGGACACCCCAACACCCCCCCCGACACCACGGGACAGCCCAGAACTGCGCCCGGGGGGGCCAAAACACCATGGATACCACAAGACCCCCCCAAGCCCCCCCTTAATGACCCCAATACCACCCTAAGTGACCCCAGTACCCCCCCAGGGCCCCCCTCAGGGCCCCTCCAGGACCCCCCCTCACACTCCATGGTGATGTTGAAGGCCAGGCTGACCCCAACACTCCCCAAAATCCCCCCAAACCCCCCTCACACTCCACGGTGATGTTGAAGGCCAGGCTGACCCCAATGCATCCCCCAAATCCCCCCAAACCCCCCTCACACTCCACGGTGATGTTGAAGGCCAGGC